TGAAGAGAACCATATTAGGTATAGAACCTTCTTGTGCACCTTTCACCTTCTGACATATTTTTTGAGTTTTGAATGTACAATTTACATTAATTGCATTCATTTCCATTTATTTTCCATTTTATTTTTTATTGATATTTCATAAATCAACATTGATTTTTCAGCAAACATAATAAATATTAGCTGAAGCTACTTTGATTCTTGAGTATGGAACCACACTTTTTTGGGATATCACTTCCTAAACTTTTCCAATTTACTTCATGTATTTCTATCTTAACTTTTCCTTCAAGTCAACCTCCCTCATAATTTATTCCTAGCTTTGTGGAATACACTTGAATACTTATATATGTTATTAATTGAGACAGTGGATGGTGCCTAGTACAGTGGCATCTTTAGCGATCCTTTCTAAGCCATCTAAGCCATTTTTGATTATAACTCTCCAGTCATGTAGACTCCATCAGCTCTTGGGGATCCCAATTTAACCAAATCCACTTTAGTGTCACCCAGATTTAGAACATAACAATGCTTTAGGAACGTGTTTGATAGAAAAATAACTTATCATGATCTGCCAGAAACAAGTTACAATTCTATCTAAAAGGCCTTAGTTATTTTATGCATAATTTGGTGTGAGATGATCCATAAACTACAGAGTAGGCAATTCTTTAGCAAATGTCTCATCTGCGGTCTGTTTTTGAAAGTTGTGACAGAAATATTGTAACTGCTGTCCATGCACCATGCAAACAAAAAGGTGTCATGGCCATAGATTTTGCATATAAACTTTGCACTATGCTCTGATTGAAAATTTTAAATAGTCAATAATACTAACAGTATTCAGCAGAATAAAGCAGATCATCCGTTTAGTTTAAAATTCAGTAGCAATAAGTATCTCACTTACCTCTTTTTTGGTTCAATAAGCTGAGTACACCTCTAACATATCTTAGTATGCACATAATTCCTTTCAAATAAATTAGATTATATTACTCTATCTGTAAAAACCATGGGGCTGATTTTTCATCACTTTAAATAGTTCACTGTTTAAGGATACGGTGTTATAAAATGCAACAAATAAGAATGGTAAGCATTTTGTATACACTCTGTATAGATATAATAACTCCACAAGCAGCAAGGCAGGAAATAATCAGACCTGTTTATTTTTACTAGACTTCTTACCTTCAAAAGAACTGAAACCAGGCTAGCTCCCCAACTGATCACAATTTTTGGCACAGTCATAGCATCATAAAATATTAAGGGGTTAGAATAAAACTTAAAGATCACCTAGTGCCAACCCTCTTGCCATGGTCAGGGGATATGGTAAAAACATTTTGATACAAAGAGTTTAAATGTCTAGTTCACTGCTGTACAACCCAGCAAGAGTGGGTTTGCAGCTCACATCCCTGAGAAGCATTGAAGTCAGGGAGATAATTTTTCAGCAGGACATTGTCTGATGGAAACTATTTGTTTAAAGGCAACAAATAAGATTTTTATGTATATCTACAGGTTTTGGTTTCCTGCAGTGAAATGTAAAAACAAATAAATGATGATCTCTGAGTTTTCTTTTGCATTTAAGTGTAAGCTGAATTAAGAGAACTTGAGTAATGCGATTTGTTTTGGCAACACGGTGGCAAGACAACCCAAACCACCCAAGTGAAACATATAGGAACTGGATATCCTTACGAGTATGGTATGAGTATTTAATTTCAAATTGCTGATAAGGAAATAATTCCATTACTTCAGTAACTAGAAATTTAAAAATTAAATTTTAATGCAAATAGAAAGAAAATATTAGTTTTATTTTTAAGTCCAGTTATGTGTGATCTCAGAGTTTAATTATCTTCTCACCAGCAATAAGTAACTGTTGCCATTGACTACATACTGTTTCACAAAATTCTTACTTGACAAGAAGAAACAAAACAAGAAGAATAATTTTTTAATCAATATAGCAAAGAGTCAGACTCAGTATAATCTAGTTGGTAGCCCCATTGCAACTTCTCCTAAATTCCACTGTTAAGAGTATTGCGTATGAAGAGAAAAATAATTTACAGTAATGTTTACTACATTTTCATATGTTTTATCATAACCAAATATAATTGCAGCAATATATTTACTGTTCATACAGCAGAATAATTACAAACTATATACAGAGTATGAAGAGATGTACATTAGTCAGAGTGTTTAATTACAGAGAATGTTAAATTATATTTATATCATTATATAAAAGGCCTTGTCTTTATCAAATCGTATGTATTATTTGAAAAATATGTAGCAATCTAAAATGTAGAAACAACATATTGGACAAGATTAAAATAACTGTACACTCTAAAAGATGGAAAAATAATAAAAATTATGTTTCATTTTGTATTCAAATTGTAGCCTTGAAAATTGATAAGAAAATATATTTATCCTTATTATTTATGAACTAAGTTGTCTGATTCTATTTGGTTTTTTCCACATTAGATCATCTGGGTTTCTTTTATCATTTCTCTCCTAAACACTGTAAATTTAGAAAGTGCTAAATTAATATTCTTTATGTAGTGATACACATATCATAAGACCATATTATTTTACTATGTCAAAGATGTTTGCACCATTTGGAGCACATCTATCACCAAAACTCAATTAAACAGTGCCTTTCTATCTTCAGCTAAAACAAACTGTTTACTTATATTTGCTCAGTGTTTACTTCACAGGAGGTAGAAGACCCAAATACAACAGAAAAATAGATGTCTTGGGATATAGCTCAGGTCAAAAAATTTAACCCAAGGAAGAAGGTCTAATCTTTTGGTTGCAAGAGAAGACTCTTTATCCTTTGCCAAGTAAAAGGCAGCATTACAATGTTATTCATACCTCACGTGGTGTCCTAACAATTCCTCTATTCAAGCTGAAAAGGCTATATTCCCTTTGTTGCAAAGTATTAAATTTGTCCCTTGAGATTAGTGTGTAGGCAGTTTTAAAGGATGAAACAGGATTAGATAAGGTTTCTTACCAAGAAAGAGTTCTGAAACTATGCTGCAAAAACCTCTTATGTTACATGTGCTGAAAAAAATCTTTTGTTTTTACACTTTGAATCAGAAGTCAAATTTTTTAAATTATTAGTTGACAAAATGTTTCTTTATGGATTTTATCAAAGGCAACTAAAGTATACACATGGAGAAAATGACACTTGCTTTAATTGTATCTGATTTTTTTTGTATGAAATTTCCCTGCCATTTGTAATTTGAAATATATTCCAAAAACTTGATATAAAAAATATGTAGTAATTCTACTTATTTTCTAAAATATGCAGTACATTTCTGCATTTCTTGCTGTGATATAGAGAAAAAAAATATACTTTTATAACTTATGATCCAAGCCAAACAATTTTATTCTAAAAAGCTTCAAAACCCAAATGTCAAGGAGGGTGCTAAAAAAGTCAGTAGTTCAGCTGTGCTCCACTCACTTGTATATAATTAATACCATTGTGTACCACATGAAGACTTTCATGAATTTGATTACTGCATATTCAGTGAGTACCATTTAAACATTTCTCCTTCTCTTTAAAAATCTACTTTTGAGAAATGAAACCATTCCAAATCAGCATCAAAGGGATTATTAGCATATGTGTATTCAATAGTAGGACAGGTTAAAAGGTCCATATGTTGCTTTTACCTAATGAGTTGATAAGCAAAGGCCGTTCCTTTTCTTTATTGTTGAATTTTCCACAAGATGCATGAATTTTGACCCCATCCTTCCTCAAATCCCTGTTCTTGATTATCTTCTCCTCCAGAAAGAGTAGACAAATTCCTTTGGTAGCCATCAATGTTCTTCATCTAGTTCTCAAAGAAAGCTGCTAAAGAATGATAAAATCCCACTCAGGATTGAAATGCACATCACTACACATGTAATGACATTGCTGGCTTACGACTGTCACATGACTATAGAATCCTCATCCTCACTGTTTTTCCCACTGTGCAGTTCTTTGCCATTCATATAGCGTCCTACATTCATCCTGAATATGTTTGAATTGAGAAAGGCTATGGAAAGAGTCTCAAGACTATTCTCAGTGTCACTGTAGAGTTCACTTGAGGAGCTGATGGCAAGATGCACAGCAATTCCTATTCCTTTATTCCTTCTGTATCAAAATATAACTTACCTTCAGCCATGAACTGGAGTATGTAATTTCTGAATCACAATGCTTGGCATGCCCAAATATTTTTTTTAAATCTTTATGGATGCAACTTCTCAAAAAAAATTTGTTGATACATATTGGAATTAAAGAGCTAGTCTGACATTGTGATATGGCTATTTAATCTATTCCTTTTCCCTTTTAAAATTATAATTTAAAAAATAACTTTAGCATATTGACAAAAATAGAACAACAACATCACCTGCAATTAGAAGATTTTTCTGCACCTACACAAGAGAAGATGGGGTATTGCAGCCAGATAAGTCTGCTGTTAAAATATATTCTTCACTATATGTACCAAATAAAAGTTAAACCATAAATATTAATGAAGATTGGAGACGAAAAGAAAAGATGTTCTGTTGCTTAGTGTTCCATGCATTCAACAAAATCAGCATACTTTAAAAGAAATTAGATGACTTGCCCATTTTTCATCTAAGTTAGACAGAGCAAGATGTGATTCTTCCCACACAAGGCTACTGGATCATAAAAATGTACATTGTTAATAAAGTTAAGTGGCACTAGGCTTGTAATTTTCAAGGCACAGATAGAAAAGGTATGCTGTTATAATTCATGGACCATTATTATAGATATATTACCTTAATGTAAGGCTCTGAAATGACATTTTCTGCAGCTGGAAGAAAGCTTAATTTCAGGAAAAAAGTTACCCAAGAATGTTTCCAAGTGTATAACCAGGAACTTTTCTTTGCCTATCACTGAGCATAACATTAAAAGGAACCAATATATGCAAAAGTATTTTATGGCCATATGCCATGTGTAAGGGAGTGGCATCTTATTAAACTGGTATCATATATTTCATCATTATGTTCTCCATGCCTTTCAGCTGACCACTGCAGGCAGATACAAGAAGGCTTCTGTGTGCTTTCTCATCTGGTTGGCAGGAATTGTGAGAGAAGTGAGAGCTGTAATGAAGACTCAGGCCCAAAGATCTGCATCTTTTGTAGTACAATGACCAGAAGATGTGCCTCTGGCTCTGGCAATGTTTGGATTTCAAGGTGAATCAGTTTCTCAGACTAGTTCTCTCTCTATCCTCTGGGAGTTTTAATTATAGCCAAGGGAATATTTTTTAGCGCCGCATCTCAGTTCTCCAAAAAAGAGGCAAGAAATGGTGTGTTGATAGGAGAAAAACGCCCTAAATACACTCTTCTTCTTGTTGCAAATGATCATAGAATAAAACAAAGTTAGTTGATATTCACGCTATAAATGTCTGTGCTACTGTCATACAGTGCAGTATGTGAACAAAATAATAGAAGATGATCTGTCAACAAGCTGCTCTCGTAAGTTGGTAATTATTTTGAATGACATCGTATCACATCTAAAATAAATTTAAACAGTATCAGCAAAGTACAACTAAAACAATATCACACAGCTAAGATGAACAGCAATATCTCTCATTTTAGTCAGTACTTTTTGTAATATTTAGTTATTGTTTGGAAGAAAACCACTACACCCAACAGTTTTCACATTAAATATAGGCAAATAGTTTAAATTAAACATATGATATTCCATCATTTTACACAGGAAGTCATATTTATATATTTAGGCATTTAATTTCTTGAATTACGGGACACAATGGAAGTAAAGATATTCCTATATTTTCAAGTTCTCTTTTGATTGGTAAGGGACAGTGGAGGCCCATCTGTTTTGCAGCAAAGAAAGCCCCAAACCATCTGTGTAGAACCACATGCCAGCTAAAACACAGAGATATGCACAGTTTTTTGTTATGAAAAATTTTGCAGTATTTTTTTCCTGTATTAGTGTGAATAAATTAGCAACAACTAAATTAAAGAAATCTTCTGAGAACATACTAACTTCCTAGAGCACACTGGAAAATTTATCCATTTAGAAGTCATGAAACATTCACCAGCAAAAATTGTTCTTGTGACTATTTATTAGTAAGACAGGTAGATTTTTGTGCATTTAAGAGAAAAATTTTTATGAGCATCATAATTGAAGTTAATTTACCTATGAGGTGTTCTTCAGAGAAAAACTTACATAATTGCAAACATGCCTGTATATTGGCTTAATAATAGCATTTAAAAGCTTGAGACCATATGTTTCTTTACTAACTTACAAAAAAAAAAAAAAACAAACCAGAAGACAGTAACTAACCCAAGTTATCCATAATGACTACAGCTTTGGCTAACCTGAATCATCTACCATTTAACTGGGTTTAAAAGAAAATCGGGGTGTGGGGAATAGTCCCTGAAATGAACATCAAGTGAGTGTTGTGGGCAAGACCCTAACTTGCACTGTGTTCTCTGTCCAACAGAGGTAGCACTGTGAGCTCTGTTGGCAGTTCATTAATGTTCAATATTTTCTTTACATTAGACCAATCTTAGCCAAGTGGACAGCAGTCATCCTGAGATCTTCTGAAACTCCATAAAATAACTGAAAACCCCAAGCAAAAAGCACAAATAAAAAGCTCTATGTAATTTTTTGATATATTAGTGGTCACACATAAGCAAAACTACAGTCATTTCTCAGCTGTTTTCAGACCCCAAATAAAATACTTTTTAAATAGAAAAATAAAATCATGGTTTTGCAAAATGATTGGGCTGTTTTTATACAAATGTTCACTCACCAGTTCGGAACACATGGGAAATAAAAGATGGTCCCTGGATTTTATCCAGAACATCTTTCAGCTGAAGACAGTTGAGCTATTCTAGTCTAGAACACGCAATTTGATCAGCAGAAAGTCTTCACAAGTATGTTTTGGAGGAAGATGCATGACGTAAAGAGCAGGCATTTTCTAAGTTTAAAAGGCCATCACATCCTTTTCCTTTCATTCTTGATAACAAGCCAGATCTCAAAAGATTTGTGCAAAGCTTCTAGATTTTGTTAAAACATTAAAACTCTCCTGTAGATTTAAACCTTCAAAACTGGACAGTATGAGGACAAAAATAAAGCCCAAGACTTAGTCTTTTCCATCTTTCTAGAAATCAAGGTTCTTTTTCTTAATTCTTTTTATGGACTGGCAAAGATCAGCTTTTCTCAAAGAAACTACTCATTTAGAAGCTATCTCAGGATTTAATTTAGAAGATGCATGATGGGAATAAGACTGTCTCTGCACACGTGGTTTTCAGACCACTCCTATGAAAGCAAGGAAGTATTTCCAGTGATATAAAGTCTAATATTTATGGTTTTCATGGTTACTATATTAAAATCATAGCTCACTTTAGGGAAAAATCAAATATGATTGTCTTTATTTCTCCATGATGGAGAAATTTATGTTGTCAGAATGATGATACCTGAATCTTGATTTTGGCACTGTTTGCTGTACTGCAGCAGTTTTACACACCTAGTTAAATATTCATGATAATGGGGTATATATATTTATACTATAAATTGCAGAGAGGAGAAATGTTTACAAGTATAGAAAACTAGGATACAAAAAGCATTTTCTAATGGACAATACTTTGATATGGAATTTGTTCTCTTGTGTCTGTGGGTACCTCACCATAAATATTTAGTCCAGATGACTTTCTTCGATACCCTAGTGGAGAATTTAATCCTTTAACAAAATCAAAAAGGTCCATCTTCTTCTAGGTCATAATGTAGACTGTTTCTAACCACAATTCAATGATTGCCAAAACTGTGGTCACATGTGCATTTGGGTAAAGCATACCGTTCATGTTTGATAGCTGGTATTCATTCCCATGCTTTATCAAAGACTCCAGATTTAAGAAGATGATGCACCAATTGCCAAATGGTCTCCTTGAAGATCATTTGACTTTTATGCAACTTTTATAGCAAATTATTTCTATGTTCACTGGCACAGTGTTTTGATTTGTGCTGCAGTGGTATGCAGATTTATATTTCAATCAAAAATGCACTTGTGTAGATTTAAATACTTTACTAGATGTTTTACTGAATATTTCTGTTCCATTAATTTAGAAGTTAAAAGTTCAATTGTAATTTTATTTTGCTTCAAAATAAAGGTTGATTCAGATTGATAAAAGAAACAATCTTATTTTGTGCAACAGCAAATGTCAACAAAATAAATGAAGATACTCAAACCTCCGGTCTGTTAACATTATTTTAAATGCTTAAATAACAAGAGAAAGATTATGATTGGGATTTAACACTTTATTTTTTTTCTCCACTGACCTACAAAAACTCATCTCAGATTAACTTTACATTGAACAAGACCATCAATTTTTTAATGTATTTATGCTGTAGTATTGCAAACACTGTCATGTATGATATTCATTGATTTTTATTATAAAGGCATAGACTCGCAATATAGTTTTAGGCCTCAAGTAATCCTTTAGTACCAGTGTAAAGCAAAGGAAATATAAACACAAATAATGGTAGCTATGAACATACACTTAGGGCAAAAGCAGATCCAATGGCTCCTACATCCAATGGCATGAATTTGCTGAGTCCCTGGACAGACAGGAAGTCTATAACTTTTTACAAACAGTGACTTGCTATTCTAGTCCAAGTGAATAGTCTGTGGATTAAAAGACCACCAAATTAATCTGAATATTTGCAGTTCTTCATAAGGATATATCAGGAAAGTGATTTCTTTCAACCAAGAGATACAGCATTATCTTCATGGTTAACACTTTTCATTATGCTATACAAGATAACTTTGTGATCCTATAATTATTTTTACATTCATTATTTTAGAGTGTGCAGAATTTTCCCCCCTCTTGCTAAATAATGAGTGACCTGTTTTGAACTATACAAGAGTTTTGAAAGGAGAAACTATTCACACATGAAGGAGTATAGAAAAGCTGTGATTTTCTGCTTGACTTAAAATCAGTTTATGATTCAGTTATAAGAAGGTTAATCAATCTGAACTAAAATGGAAAAGAATACACATAGAAATGCAAAAAGAGATCATTATTTTTTCAGAATAACATATTTATATGCACACAAACTGATGAGATGTTTTCTGTTTATTCCTATCATGAAAACTCTATAAGCTTTATACTTACGATCTTTGGTTACCCATAACTGAGGAACACTGCTTTCAAATGAGACCTTGTTTTGCAATATGGCAGTTCCTAAAACATTCTGACACAAAAACATATGAATTAAATAAAGAATCCACCTATCTCTTGACAATGTTGCATTAAAAACAAATTTATAAATATTTTAATGTATTAGCAATTAGTAGGCCTGTTATAAGAAATAATACACTAAAGCAGACAAAATATTTCTCCTCTTAAAAGTAAATTTATTCCAAATTTCAGCTTTATTAGGGTTAGCTCTCCTGTATAAAGGAAATATAATTGGATTTATTTTTCAAGGGAGACTATAACATCACATCTCCAAAAAAAAAGTATTTTCTCAAGAGTTCTTAAAGGTCTAATGAGATATTTACCTGTATTAGACTATACCCACATACCCACAGTGTTTGTGCTTGTTAAAGCCTTTCAGTCATTCTAAGCTTAGGGAAATAGTGTCCAAATGTACCATATTTAGCTTCTATCTCAAATTCTCCCGAGCTGTCAATTTAGGTGTTAAAGAGACCATTTGTAAAGCTTGGCTGGGATTTGCCATTATTGACTGGAATGTGTGTTTATCATTACATTCAATGATGAAAGTGGAACATGTAGCATATGAATAAATGTCAGCAGATGTTTCTTTTAAATGGCCTGATTTCAACCTCCTGTTGTTTGTCTTGAATACAAATATTAAAAAAGAGAAAAAGGCAGAATTTTTTATGACATAAGTGCAAGGGTAGTTATATTAAAAAACAACAAAAATAATGATGGAAGTCAGAGAAGAACGAGGAAAGTATAATTAATAAGAATTATGTTGATGCTTTCATGCTACTATCTGGTTTGATATTATAAAAGACACAAGAACAGCAGTTCAGTGTGGGATATATCACTCCAAAATCACTCCATAAGTAGTAAGGAAAACTTGGAGTCTATTCTCAGAAGCATATTACATAAGGTTCAATAATTAAAAAATGTTATAGAATTGTTGTAAAACTCCTTAAACTCAGAGCACCAAGAAAAGGAGATGTCACAGAAAAGAGGCCTCTACATGCTTTATCCTTGTTTGCAAAAACAAATATTCCCTTTAAAATAGTAATAATTTTTTAAGTGCTTGAAAGACTCTCGCTGATTCCAGTGCTAATACTACTGCATGTGTAAACTTGAATGTATAAACGTTTCTGCAGTGTGTGGAAATGAAAATAAAGGATTTATGTGGATCTCCTCTTTTTATAACTTTTTTTTTTAGAATTATAAAAATATATATACTATATAGTAGCATATAATAGTATAAAAACCAACACACAACTGTCTGCTGCCAGGACCATATTCTACTACTCTGCTTCACATGGTGGTGTCCCATTTTGTTCCATGGGACTACCCTGAATAAAATAAATGCTCAGTGTGAACAGTGAGTAAAATCTGGCAGGAATTAGTATGCAGCACTGTAAACTCAGCAGTATTCCAACTAAATCAATAAAGTGAACAGAGACAAAATTAAATCAGCTTTGTGTTTACTGGAATGTGTTGCATTTTGTATCATCTAAATTATAAGTATCAAGGTGTTGAATATCTGAAGCCCTCTGTCTTTACAAGAGATGCAGGTGTTCAAAACCATTGTAAATCCCATTTTTAGTAAACAGGACAGCTTTAAAATGATTATATTCCATATTCAGATAGCATCATAAATCTGCAGGGAATTTAGGATAAAAGTAAACCTTTTTCTGATACTGTTTCAATATGTCCCGATTAAAGAAATAATTTCCTACCTTGAAGTCTAAAATAGTAAATGTGTTTCTATTGTGTATATATGTGATATATTTCTATAAGACTGTATCTAATGACTGTAATGTGTGAGTGTTTTGTAATTAAATACTGAGGACTATCTCCAGCTCCTGTCTAGAATTATATGATGTATTTATTAAGAGTTTCATGAAAACCACATGTAAACTTTGACTATAGAAGGGTTGGAGTATCCCTTTTATTAGGCATTCTTCTCAGCTGACCATTCATACTGCTTATGTCCTAATCACAGGAACTGCAAAAGATGTCTCTTAGACAAGATAATGACCTTTACAAAGGTAATTTACAGAGAGCTACCTGTTCACAGATGCACAATATATACCTCTAGCAGTATATATAGACTGCATCTTGATTTTCAAGAACTTCTCAGTTCAAGGATAAGTCCTTTATCTGTTTTTCTAGTAACAAAAAGAGAAAAATATATACTTTTATAACTTATGATCCAAGCCAAACAATGGTCATTGGTTATTTGTCAGTTTTTTATTGGATCTTGTGACAGTAATTTTGGCCAGTTTTTTCCTGGAACTAAGGAAAAAATATTCTCAATTTATTCCCTTTTGCTTCTGATAATTTAAAAAATATGTCCAAAAATATATCCAACGTCAAAGAAAGAAAATCGAGTTTACAAAAGAAATTCAATACAAAAAAAAATAGTTTTTAGGCCTATGGTTTTTAAAAAATAATCTCTAAATCAGTGAAATCTTATTTTAATTGAATTAAGAATTTTGTACAGCTACCAAATATGAGTGAACTGCCCTACCCACACCTCAGTTTAGTGCAATACATCCAAATGGTAATCACTCAATACTCACTTTAAGGAAAGGTATTTGTTCTCCTAAATCAGTGGACCAGAAACTACAAGTTTGCAGAATTTATTCCACTGCAATGGAATTAATTTATTCCTTTCCCAAATCAGCTGGTAGTTGAGCAAATATTTGTAGATAATTACAGAACATAGAGAAATACAGTACAGAGATACCTGAACAAATATAAAACATAATAACAAATATTAAGTGAAAATATAAATATATTCTATAATAGTTAAAAATATATAGACATATTGAATGGAAATATTGTCTAACTTCAGTAAGTGGAAAAGCAGAGGGAGAATTGCAATTTAATTATCCTGGTCTCCATTCTGGAATGTAATAAGCAGATCAATAATGTTATCTCTATAATTGCATTCCAAGAATATCATGCTAGTTGTTTTGCACTTCATACCCTGCAGCATTTCCTGTTAAGATGTTTTCAGAATGTTTACAGTAATTTCTGTTCTTAGGCCTGGATTCATCAAAACACTGAGCTTATACTTAGCATTATTTCCACAGCATGAGTAGTATATTTATGTCTATGTATAAATGTTTTCTGGAATAGAGCTGGTTATAAACATGCAAAATGATTTGATGAATTTAAAACAAAAACTAGAAACCCAATATATCTTGACAAAATATGTTGTTTCTTCTGGAGTATCCTCAAATGAAGATATCTTCATATGATTTTAAGTCATTATATAAAATATATTAATTAGGATATGTAATCTTAAAAAAAATAGTAAATTAAATAATATTAGAATATTGATTGTAGACTTTTCAGGTTCGTCCTTCAAAAATCTGTAGAGTGCTGACTTTCAACAATCAGAAAGCAAAGAAGTAATCTAGGAGGGAGGCTGCATTTTCCCTATCTGCTTAGATCTTGGCACATTTGCTCTTCAATTGCTCCTCACCCTTCAGATAAGCTTGAAAACAAACTTCAACCTTTCAGCACTATGCACACTTCACACATTCTTTCACTTCAGCAGTTAACTCTTACATCCTTGAACAGAACCAAAACACACACAAAAACCATTCCGTGTTCTCATTCTTAAGGAAACAATAATTGTAGGTCAAGGTCACTTCAGAATTACTTAAATTTCTCTTGATTTTTTCTCTCCTGTAAGTTATTTCACTTCCTCTTTTGCCACAGAGATTTTAGAAGTGTTTGTGTTCTTCCTCCCTGCTTCCTCCAGTAATATTTTAGACAGACAAATATAATTCTGAAGAATTTTGAGGTTTATTTCACAGAATATTAGAAGTGACAGGGTGGATCTTGTGGAGCTGCAGAACCTGTGGGAGCAATTCCCTGATGTGATGCAGTGCAGGGATATGCAGAATGAGGCATTGCCTTTATGGGAGACTTTTCTATATTGCACTGATTAGGTACCCTAGTTTTTCATGTAAGGAGTCACAAATCAACAAACCTTACTGGATGCTGGGTTGAGTATTAATTAAGATCTTGTTTTTTAACACAGCTCCAGGAAACCTTCTTCCTCTGTTACCCTGCCTCTGCCTTGATGAAAGAGAACAAACAGCTGAATATTACTCCCAATAAATCAGGTGATTTTTCCATTTTTTCTCACAGACTACTTCTAGATAGTGTTTAGGATCCTCATTCTTCATTTTTTGGTTCAACAAGAGTTTATCAGCATTATTGTGGAAATTGTACATAACACTTAAGTTTCACCCTTAACAATAGTTTGATTTATTACTTTTGGTCATTGTTCAAATCCTCTTGTATCTTGAACTTTTGCAATTTTTTCCCAAAGTGTAACCTTTTGCATTCTGAGTATGGACAATTGTTTTGTGTTGTTTAAAAGGTTTTGTTTGATAAATTGATTTTTCAGTAGTCAATATGCATATGGTTCTTCTTGCACTTGGCCTCTGTTTAAAATCATGTCAACTTTAAATAGTTACAGTAGGGCTAATGCAAAAAGTCAAAAGTAAAACATGACAGAATTTGCTCATTTTCCTTGTCCATGAATATGTTCTTGTGGCTCATATTACGTGCAGATGTAATGCCTGTGATTCTCCTGCTGAGTCTCCCAATCTGTCACAAATTAGCTCAAAGTTTCAAGGAATAAGCCAAAGCCCCATTTACTCCTACAGGATGCCTGTTTTTTAAGGCTGAGAGATGATCTAGGATTAGAAAATATCCGATAAAAGTCTGGGGACAATTGTAAAGACTGAGTATTGGGCGATATTAAGAAATGAAGTCTGTGGATAGACTCCCTAGACACTCACAGTATTCCTAATGTCCTCTCCAAAGGCAGTGGAGCAGTGGATGACAACCCATTTCCAAGCAAAGTGTTCTAATCATTGCAAAATCACTAAAGAAGAGCCAAGTAGTATTTCTCTTCTTTCTAGATGCACTTTAAAAAATTGAGTCCCCTCAGAAGAAACCTCTGTACTTTGAGGTCACCTAAATAAGTGGAAGCAGAGCACTTGCAGTGAAGTGACTACAGAGAGGCTTGGTTTGCTTTGTCTCTCATTTCTCATTCTGCTTAACATTCCTTATGGGCTGTCTCCAGGCAGCTCCATGACTGGTGAGTGGGAAGTACCAAGGACATGTTTATGTTTTAGTCATGGAAACACCCACAATGCTGCAATAAGCAAGCAGTCTGATTCTTATCCCTACATATGTTAAGTAAATGAGGTGAACCAAATGAACAAAGTTCTAGCTGAAACAGAAAACGTGGGTATAACTGTCCAGCTTCTCTGGACAGTTCAGGCAGAACTACAACTCTTTGTTTTGCAAGTCTGGTCTGACAAAGGCATTTTGGTGTGAATCAACATTCTTCTGTTCCCAAATACAAATAACTCTTTTCTTGTTCCAGGTTGAATATTCTTTAACTGAATGCACATGTATGTCAGTAATGATAACTCTCAAAGTAAACATGTATTTACCATACAGTGCCTCTGTACAAGGAAAATATACACTAACCCTGCAGGAATTTTTATGTTACTATGGACTTACAAATTTTTTTTTCTTCTTTGTGCCTTGGCAATGCATTCATACTGAAGGAAGAATAGACACCTTAATCCTGCTTGGCAAGATTTCCCTTTAAAGCCTTACACCCAAACAGGCATATGTAGTGTTTGTTGAACTTTTACACTGGACCAATCAGTCCATTGAGGTCTAAAGTAAGACTTCCTTTTCTTGGCATGCAGCAAGGCAGTTTGATGATCAATAAAAGAGTCTGATGATCAATAAAAGGCTTTGATAGCATATGAAGCCCCAAGTATAAAAGCCATCTCAGTAGTCATATCAGTAGCAAAGGTTGCTACTGCATTTATTTCATTGTAGTGTAATTCAAATAATTTGAAAAAAAAAATGAATATTTAAAAAGTTCTCTTCTAGAGAAGAATTAAGGAATAAGTCTCTTAAGAGTTTCTATTAGACCTGGCTCTCTTTGTGTAGAATTCAGCAGTAAAATGTCAGTAACTTCAATAGGATCAGGATAAGACCCAATGCCAAGCTTGTGTGCCAAGCTTCAATATGAGATAAAACCCTCTTTTTTTTACAGTCAATTTAGCTACGTAAAAATTCTTAGTAGGAAGATATTTGGAGTGCTTAAATGTTATTAATGTTAACAAGGCTTGTCCATTTCTTTCAGTGTTGTTCATTAATAGAATAGAAATCTCAGAACTTTAGAATACAAAAACTGTTAGTTTTTTCTCAAATTCACTAGAATATAAGTCCATTTACCTCTGTGTGTGATTTTATATTTGAAACTTCAGCATGATATATTATATAAACTATAGAAATGGTTCCAAACAGTTACAGCCTTTATAAATTATAAGAAAGAACAAAGAAATATACTAATTTATATAGAAACAATCTAATAGTTCTCATTTATCCATGTACATTACGAAATTACATTAGTTACAATCAGTTATTTCAAATATTTAAAGAAATATTTAATGGTTTACTACCATGCTAAACAACATAAGGCACTATTAGCCTTATGGCTAATACGATCAACAAAACTAAAATCGTAAAGCTAAGTTGTGTACCCAGTTAAATAAATAAACTATTTTAACTGGTGTAAGAAAGTCTTGCAACATGTATTTTAAGGATGCAAGATCTTTTCTAAATGGACAGCTTGTAATATAAGTACCAGGACAAACCAGTTGCAGTTTTTACTTTAATTTGCAATATCTCCGTGCGGAACAGGATTTGTATTAGCATGACATGGTTTTGTAACAGCAGTCTTTGCTTTTGTCTTTTTCCCATTTTGCCTTTTCCCCTCTCCCAGGTCTTTCTGCTACTGATTATGAGTTTACAATCTAAACCTTTGCCACTTTCAATGAAGTATTAGTCTATGAATGCTTCTTTGTCTTTGATCATTTGGTTTATCTCTAGGACCTAAAAGGAAACCCTAAAAATAACTTCAGATATTCTGCAGAAGTAAGGAACCAGACATAAAAGCAGAAGAGGCATCAAAAAAACTCAAGACTGTACAGAGCCCATGGTGTCACACTTATGACAATGGTGAGAAGATTTGGTCGAGTTGTTAGAGCCTTGTGGTCCCTACCTTGCAAAGAGCTCTGAATGTGCCATTCTAATCACACTACAGACTCTTCCCATGATCATAAGGAAGAAAAATAATATCCAGATTTCCCATGAATGTTTTTATAACAAAATGAGAGGTTAGAGTCTTTGGTTAGGTTTGTGCTCCATGTATTAAGGAATAACCGTGTCAGCTACCAGTACTTTTTCCATAGAATGAAGTTAATGAGTTTCCACAAAATGAATACAGTGTATGGTAATCAGACTGTGGTACTGCCAGCCTGTGAATGTTCTGTTCCATGTCCTTTGTTCACATCACACTCTCTACCCACACTGTGCCTTGGGAGTCTACCTATCTGTAAAGGGAGGACTTTACTTGGAGGACTTTACTTTAAAGGGACTCTTTACTTTGGTGCTCCTTGCACCGTCACAATCACAAAATAAGTGAATGGTCATTATTCATGAACATCCACACATACCTCTTGTGATATGCCATGCTCTAACAATTAGACAATTAGTCAGTTAAAAGGAATGTCCATGCTAATGTAAACTTTGAAAAAAATCAGACTGGTTCATTAACTTGATTGTTTACTACACCAGGGCTCACACCTGTGAGCCCTTACCTACAAAATGGAATTGTCCTCTCTCATCAACTATGATTCTTATTTGATTATTTTATATTCTTTTATTTTATTTTTTTCCCAAAGATCAGAACTTGTCATTCCTGCTGCTTCATTATTTTTTCTCTTAGGAAACTATTTTTGCTATTTTTCATAGTCATTAGTTTTCATTATTCTTACTTTCCTAGAACCATTGGAAATGGACTGCTTGCCATTTTTTCTACTCCTTTGCTAGGTAAAAGCAATTGGCTGAGGATGATAATTAGACAATTGCAACTGGGCTGTCAACATTTTAAAATATATAGGATCCAGTGCAATATGTAATACAAAATGCAATAGTAAAGGGAATATTTATGCACATGCCAAGATTGTATCAAAGGATGTGCTTTTTTGAGATTGTGATGAATTTTTTCAAACAATTGTTTCACAATATAAAGAAAAATTAAAGGAAGTAAAGTTAAACACTGTCTTTCTTTGAATACATATAGAATAAAATTTTATGATATTGAGTAAATTTATATTTCCCTACAGAATTTTCATGTTTATGGCTATAAAGATATATTTCTCATGCAATAATACACTTTGAAAAATAATGAGGTCCTCTGATCATTTTCCTCCTTATTACTGGATAGCACTTCCAGCACTATGCAAGCACAGTTGGCTACCCAGGGACCCTGATGCCAAGTTGCGGAGGATATTCTTGTAGCAGTGACAAATAGCTTGCTGGTGGGCTGTGCAGAGTGTTGTTCTGGCAGCAGTGAAGTTGTCTATGTGTCTGTCACTTGGTTAGGCTACAGAAAGTCTAGGTAGTTTCATTTTTTTTTTTCTGCCTTTGGAGAACTTTGTTTTAAACTTGCATGTGTTTCTGGTGAATTAGTTCATTTGACAGCAAGGTTCTTAACAGACCCCTCAGCAGTGTTACATGTGAGTACCTATATGATGAAAGAGAGAAAAAATCTTCACAGTGCCATACTTGTTTTCCATACAAACCTACATGCTGCCATTACAGCCACCCACATATCATTTGACAACTCACTTATGCATCAAGCATCTTAATGAATCAAGACTGAACTACACAATGTCCTCATATAAAGCCATGTATTTCAAATGTTATTCTGAATGTATGCCTTTCTAGTGAAAAATTTGGGTAGATTGTGTGATCTGTAAACAAAAATTTGTGTACGGGTTCTGTTTTGCTGCTCATAATTCTCCTATTGAAAGAATCCTATGTTGTTGATTTAAATTTAAAAATACAATGACTAAAGTCAGCTGACTACCAAAAACACAGTAACTCTTAGTAGATAAATTAGCTTGTAGACCTATACAGACAATCCCTACAGTGTTTTTTGACTGCCTAAGAAAGTATATAATTTAAAGCTTCTTGATAATTTATGGGTAAAATGCAAAGTAGCTGACACTGTTGGCTAAAAAGTGAATGCTCCTCCCATTGTACTTCTGAGTTTATAATTAAGGGTAAATGTAAAATTTAAACAAAAAACAAAACAACAAACATATTAGGTATTGTATTTAGAAACAGGAAACAAAGGCATCAATATTTGTATATAGATGGAGGTATAATTTAAGATCTTTGGAAGGGTAACAAATCTACTATATAATAACTCTGCTGAATGATGTAAGCCTAGACTAAGTAAAAGGAAGTAAACGTTCTTTTTATGAAAGTCAATATACATTGGCAGTGTTTTAAAAGGACCTAACGGGCTTTTAATCTTATAAAGAAAAAAAAAAAGTTTATTTTTGTTCTTTCTGTGTATATAGATGCATTTGCTGATTTGATTATCCATATTGGTAGATCAGGTTAAATGTACTTTGAGAAAGACTTACATTCTTTAGTATGTCTCTGTACTGATTTTGCACTCACAAAAAATATATTTTTTTAAATTACCAATATAAAAAAGCAAAAAAAAAAATCTGCTGCTGGTAATTAGAAAAATAATCAAAGAACTCCAAGTATAAGTACTTGGAAGAGATGTTGAAAGGTATTTTAACATTGTAAATTAAGGGTACGGAGAGGAAATTTCAGCTAAAAGTGATGTTTGAGTTAGTTTGTTTTCATTGTGTCCAGTGATAGTACTTAAGTCAGCCTCCTAGACTACATGGGTATTGCTAAACTAAACTCATCAAATTTGCAACTACAGCTTTGCCAGAAACATTTTGAAAAGAGCCGACAGCAGAGATTTTCTAGCTTTCATCACTTAGAAGCACAGAGTGAGGCTATTGATCTTAAAATTGCTGGGATTTTCGAAGGAGTCTGCTTGTTTGTTCTGTGCTGTTGTCACTGAAGTGGTTAAAGCTTTGTTTGTTTGTTTTGGTTCTGAATGGCTCTTAATGGATTAAGCTTTCCAGCTTTCACCAAAGCTGAAACTGTTTATTAAAGTATCAAGATATAAACTAACCTCTGGGAATTTTAACAAACTATATAGGGCCGTGGAGCCCTAATGACGTATCCCTGTGGATACTTTTGAAGGCTTTGATGTGTTTGTTTTTCCGACTTATACCATACCGAATTAATTTAGTTGTTTTGGGGAAAACAAATCTACGTGAAGTTGGATATTATAATGAAATAAGGAGTATTTTCCCTCACAGATTTGATGTACAGATTTGAAGCTCTGCTTCATCAAATCATAACCATGTGCACAGAATACTGTAATGAAATATTTAGAGTGTTTTATTGGCACTAAATATTTTATTATTTCAGATATTTACAAAAATTATGAAGAAAACCCTTCCATCATATTTAACCAATAGATGAGACATATATTCTAATAAATGACTGGTCTGGACATGGATAGAGATATGCTAGAATCTATAAGATTAATCTCAAATATATTACAGAATACATTAGGCTTGTAATTTCTAAAATCAGATTTAACCAAGTTTTCAAGAGGAAGGTTTAAAATCTTATCTTAGAGTAACCCAGTAAACTATTGGACACAGAACTGGTAGAAAATATAATTCACAAATTGACTGGGTATGGTAGACTAAGCAAAATCCTTTAATTTCCAAATTTCAACAGATCCACATTTTTCTTGTGATACCAAGCATCATCCTCATATCAGTGTCAGAAACACATTACCTTACTCTCCAGGAAGGGCTTCAAAGTCCTTAAGAAAAATAAAAGAAATATTAAAATCCAATTAGTGTTTTTCTTCAGGTGGAAATATTTAGCTGTATATTAATCCTTTAATAAATAATGTTCTAAAACAGAAATCAATAAATAATATTTACCAATAACTGTAAGTGGCAGTTTTTGGATACATACATGTGTCTCACCAAAGCATTGGAGTTCTGGAGGAAAACCTCAAAAGTCCTCTTACTAACTAGTGTTAATTGAATTTTAAAAAAGAGTATGGAAGGCTGGCAGAAGCAAAAGTGCTTTTGAGTGAGACTATATCTGAAGAGCCATAGATTTAAAGTAAGGTTAGGAATGTTTTTATGATGTCTCTGTTACTTTTGAAAAACACAACTTGTTGGACAAGCAATTATCATTGTAATATTTCATATCCTAATGATATACTAATGTTAGGAGACACTTCTTGATGTGCAATATACTGATGTTGCACAATTTTTTTTCTTGTATGGTAGTGTGGAAAGAAAAAATATTTACTCCTCAGCATTTTCACTCAGGTTACATTATAGGGATTATTGCTCCAAGTTCTCAGTAAGAACTTTGGAAACATTAAAGGCAGCTTTTCTTCATTTAAGCACTTTTTTTTTTTCCCTGATAGATAAGACATATGAACAGCATCAGGAAATGCCACTGTTTTTCTGTTTACTATGAAAAGGCCATTTACTACAGGTACCCCTTTGTAACCACTTTTGGAAGAAAAGTCTGGCAGTATTAAAGCAAACTGTATTATGTAATTTATGAAAAATGCATACACTGAAACATTCATAAATAATTACAAGAGTCATGCAGTAATTAGTAAAAGAGCCTTCAACAGCTGACGACTCTAATAAACTTATATGCTATGTGAACCATCACACAGGGCTTATATAACATTGAATGGGTTACATACCATAAAAAGCACCAGGAATTGGAAGAAATCAGCTTTGACCTAAAGTTTTGTGTATGTTCTTCTTGAAACAGTCTGATTCCAGTGAAAAAAACAGAAATACAGTTACAGAACTGGAGCTGGAATGGGACATCAGAGTATCAGAAAAGTATGTTTCAATTAGTTCTTTTTCTATCATAGAAAGTTACTCTTTTTAAATACCCTTTTGTGTCATTGTACTAAGAAAAAAGACTAATCTATTATCTGAGATTATAAACATAAGTTGTTTTATTATTTTATGTCTTTAATCTATAGGAAATAATGGACAATACTGTGGTAACGATATTAATGACAGTGGGAATGTTTTGAGCACCTGTTTATGTTTAAATACTTTTCCGGGGGTTTTTTTGCCACAATTAGTGGCTACTGATTTTATCTCACTTAAATTCAAAGTGCTTTGCAATAAGAGTTTATTGAGATAGGTGATAGACAGATAGACAGACGGATGTATAATAAATCATGCATTATAAATGGATTTATTTATAGTTCTCTTGTTTCACAGAATCAGAGAAAGGTGTAGATTGAAAGGGACCTCTGGACATCACCTTGCCCAACCCCTGTGCAATGCAGGGTCCCCGTGACCTCATTGCCCAGGCACATATCCTGATGGCTTTTGAATATCTTCAAGGATGATAACTCTACAACTTCTGTGGTCAACCTTTACATGAATGCTTTAAGTTTTTTAAAAATACATTTAATATATTGACATTTCCCTTCATATGAATTTTCTAGAGGATTTCCTACCAATTTACACAGTCAGAGTTTGTTACAGTGGTTCAATCAGCCTTCAAACTCTACCAGCTTATTTGATTTGATTCTGATGTAGACATATTACAACTTCATTAGGAGCAAATAAAAATAAAAAAGTTTCTAAAGAGTATTTTGTATGTGTAGCTTGACTGCTTCTTCTATAATGTGCATTCATACTTACATTTTTTCATCCTAGGACACTTTTTCACAATCAGCTGAGAAAAGAAACCATTTATCCTTCAGAGTCAACAGAAGCTACATGTCATTCCCTGGTAGGATGAATCCTTACAAACAGTTTGACATTCTGGGAAATACCACCAGTGTCAGCTGTTATGCTGCTAAGAGAACACAGGTGGAGGAAATGTGGATGCAAACGATGTTAAATTGCAGTTACCTTTTCAACTGCATTTAAAGTAAAAATTGAGTCAAGATAATTTTTTTAGTACATAGAATGTTACTGATAGTAATATGCCAAACTCACAACTATGCTGTAAATAAGGTACCTACTTCTATTACTATCAAGCTGAAGTAATGCATTTATGTGATAGAAAATTTTCCAGGATATAGGATTGCATTCAATATTTAAAGTTTACTTCTGTCATTCTAACTCCTGTTCCCTCTCCTGTACATGGCAGATATATCACAGGGTGAGGAATTTCTAAGTGATATGCAAGTGCTCTTCTTCATACACATATATTCAGTATTTATTCAGATATACATCTGTGCAAGATTATTTGTGCCTATTTTCAGATTTTAGCACTTGCACATGTTATGCTCATAAGTGTGGAAAAAGAGCAAAAAGAGCTTGAGAAACATGAGACCTTCTACATTGATTCAGAAGAAAATAATGAGCTCCTTCTCTGCACTTTTTTGCTACTTTAAAAGGTTCTCACTTTCTGGTAGAGAGCTGAGTTGAGAGCTTAGAATCCTCATCTCTACCAGCTCAGTTGTCTTCTGAACTTTCCCACTGCATTAGTGCAACAGTGGAAAATAAACGTGGATAAGTCCTTCAGCAAAATATCAGATTATAACAGTCTTGATCCTGTGCCCTTCTGATCTATGTTATGTCCTTGTCTACAACTCCTTGGCCTTAGTAGATGCGATCTTCTGTTTAAAACTTCCACAGCAAAGCTACTTTAAATTCTTAATTATTTGGGATGGAGTTGAAATCAGCAGATGCAATGAATGAAAGTTAAGTAATAATATGTAGGAATTCAGATCACACCATATAATACAGAAAACTTCATTTGAAATATTCATGACAAAGTTGTAAAGTCCTGGTTTTCAGCTTTTATATAAACTTGAAAGGTGAAAACCTATGCTTCTGGAAAACCAAGTAAACAATTTAATGACTGAGGCTAGGAGGGTGTTTGCTTTATTATGCATATGCCTGGTTTTCAGTTGACTATTCAAGCTGCAAAATGTTGCAGTCTTAGGTGCTGCACTGAGAGCTAAATGCTTCTTCCCTGTTTTCTCAATTTAACAACATATTCAAATTTCTGGGAGACAAAAAGCCAAACAAATAAATCCAGGAACAGGCCTCTCTTGAAACAGACTTCCCAGACTAGTGTATATGATGAGGGAGTTGGATTCTAATTTGGTAGGTAAGCAAAGAATCTTTTCTTCAAGGCTGTGTAATATATTACTGATATCCAGTCAAGATACTTGAGTTGTTTCTCCCCTAAGAAAGCTGTCAGTGTTCATGTAAGCTATATCCATGTTACTATTACAACATCTGTCATACTTGCTGGAAAAAATCCCCTTATACGCTGCTAGACTTCTCTGTTTTATTTTGCTTTTCTATCTAATCTATTGCAGTCAATCATGCAGCAGTTGCTTATCTTATGATTCTAAAAGTTGTCACAAGTTCTATTTGGTTTACTTTGCTTGCTTAGCATATTCAAGGATAGCATTACTCTGGAAAATAAAGTGCATAACAATCTTGATCATATGGCATGTAATTTTCTGAGATCAATATCCTGTTTCTTACTAGGGATACCAAACATCCCTAAAGACTTATTAGTTTCTTATATGATAGAATTACTGATTTATTTTGTTAATCATGAGACTTGGGACACACATGAGAGAGAGAAGACTCAAAATGAGAAACCATATTTCACCAGTATATAGGTAGGAAGCCAGTGAATACTCCTTTCCCAATCACCATCACTTTCTTTTCATCATAGAATTTTAATTGCAGCAGGAAGAGAATACAGTGGAAGCTGTGCAAAGATACATTTTTTTTTAGTTCTGGTGATTGACAGCTATATGCAGGCAAGATCTCTTGTCGCCATCCAGGCCCTGAAAGGAACAGGGCATTCATTTTATCCAAGTCTATGATGTTAGTAGACCAGGCACTAGGTTTCCACTGAGGTCAGTGCAGAGTGACAGAGTCCTTCAGATGCCACATCAGAAGACAGAAGTTAAACTCCTGTGCTGGGTGTTCACTAAAAGAATCACTTCCATTCAGCTCCCTAGTTGAAATGTGCCAAGAAATGTAGGAAAAAATGAGAAAAGTAAATAACATTCCCTAATACTAGTGTAATGGATAGTGTAAACCTACTAAATGCAGTTAATCTAGCATCTCCTAGTAGCAGTTGTTAAATTATTACTAACTTTTCCCATTAGTAATCCCTATGCCTTATATCAAAAAGATCATGAAGAAACTGCAAATCCTTACTACTTGGCAGAATCATTCAAAGTAAATATTATGCAATTGCTAATTAAAGCCCATAGCCTGGCCAGACCTTTGGTCTACACAGATATGCAGTTCTAACATTATTTAGTCAATAAGGTGGGATGCTGGGGCATCAAGCCTGCTGGTAGAATTTCAAAAGGCCCTCAAGGAGGCAGTACGAGTCAATTGGCTTCTGAATGTAATTCACAAACAGGGAAATAAGAATTAGGAGAAGGGAAATGTTACTCTTCTCATCCTTCATCTGCTCATGCATGTCTTCTGGTTATCCGTATAGGCTAGCTAATACAGAAGTCATTTCCTCTCTATCCTTTGACTGGCCCCTGCTCTGATCACAATGTATGCAATATTTTCCACTAAGAAGGGATGGGAGAACTGAGCTTTTGCTTAGCTGCCAATAGAATATTCCATGTACAACAGAAGAAACACAAGATAAGGGAAGATGAGGAAATTTTACCTTTGAGTAAAAGATTCAAAATCAGCAGAGATATACCAGTTGTTGAGACAGTTTTGTCCTGGTACTGAAGGCATAAACTGGAAATTTTGTGAGTTTCAGTTTATTAGTTCAGATCTTCAGTGAAATGCATGTGAGGTTTTTGTTT